ATGTACCATTTTTAAAGTTGCACGGTCTGTAAGCGAAAATAGAAGATGCTTGCAGATTTATAAGCGCTCATTCCGATAGCTTGTTATGCAATGTAACAAATAATCGTGCAGAATCGTTCAATTCGATAATCTGCGAGGACATCGGTGGAAAGCACATTCATTTTGATGAACGAGGCTCTTACAATGTCAGGATTGCAGCATCAGTATATACGCAACAAGTTCTAACGCAAGTGCATAAAGACATGTGCAAAAGTGTCCCTCCCGTTGTCGAGAAATTGGGAAAAGGATGACAGATCAAAGTTGTGAAAAACAGAGAATCTCGACTAGTAGACGGAAGATAAAAAATTAAAACGCGTGTCGGGAGCAAATCGTTATTACGGCCCGCAATCGCAAAAACCAGATCTTCCATTTGAAGTATACGAGCAATTTCGAAAAAATCATTTGGAAAAGTTATTCGAAAATAGTAGAGGCAGAGAGAAAGTTGAATGCAATAAGAGAGGTCAAAATGAATCCGAATTATGGCATTCATTGAGACGTGAAATGTTGACGGCATCCAATTTTGGAACCGTGTGCCGCATGAGACCAACAACGTCTTGCGCAGGGACTGTAAAAAATATTTTGTTTCCTCCGTTTATCGACACCGTAGCCATGAAATATGGTCGTGAAAACGAAGAGAACGCAAGGAAAGAATTGAGCGCAAAGCTGAATAAAGAAATAAAAATTTGCGGATTATTCATTGATGATGAAAATCCATGCTTAGATGCTTCTCCTGACGGACTCATTGAAAAAGATGGTCTCGTCGAAATCAAATGTCCTTTGTCAGCTGAGCATTTAACAGCAGACGAGGCTATAAAGACATTGCCTCAATTGAGAGGCATTTTTGATAGAAAATCCTGATGAAATGAATCGGAATCACCGATATTTTTATCAGATTCAAGGGCATTGAATATAACGCAGCGAGATTACTGCATTTTTGTTATATGGACGCCAAAACGTTTTAAAACGTTACGTATTAACAAAGACGTTGCTTGTTGGAAAAATAAAATGCTGCCCTATTTGACACGCTTCTATAATGAATGCATGCTTCCGAAAATCTTGGACAACCGCCATAATAGGCATATGCCAATTAGAGATCCAAGATATATAATGGAAGCTAAAGAACAAGCATGCAAAAAATTTACTAGTCGAAAAACTAACCGATGAGATATAAAAAGAGAAAGCATCCAAAAGAGCAAACGATTAAAATCAAATGTTTTGCAAACTATTGCTTCTCTAGATTTGGAGCAAGATGACGATTGTGTCATTGTTAGTTACTCAAATGACAAATGAGACCTAACAACAGATAATGTGGTGAGACGAAAAAATTCTGGGTGACATGATTGCTCCTATTTCTTTCGTGAAAGAAAATGTCTTGCCTAGATGCAGCAAGTTAAACGACGAATCGTTGGATCGATTTTTACGCGTCATAAGAGAAATTTCTGCATTTGAAACATAAAGTGTGCTATATTTAGAATTACCTCATATAATCGGAGCTAGTCAGAACAATAAGAGCTTACAGATCATTGAAGGTAATTGCAGTGATCATTGGCGATGCATTTTCCTCGATGGCACCAAACTTTGCGTGTACGACAGTTTACCTAACTGTATGTACGATAAGTTGGTAGCTAAAGAGAAAAATTATATTCATCGCCGTTATCCGCAAATAAGCGAAAGTAACATCATTTTTGAAAATGTTGATACACAACCGGATTTCACGTCTTGTGGAATTTATGCTGCAGCTTTCGCTACAACTATAACATTAGGCGGAAATCCTTGCGATGAAAAATACTCCAAGGATGTATTATGCATGAGACAACACTTTTACAAAATTATAGAAGGCAATAGACTGTTGCCTTTTCCAAGGCGAGAAAAAATTATTCTTAAAAAAAACCTCGAATAAATATCTTCGAGAGAAAAGATGCCTTGATGCAATGTTTACAAAAGTCGGGGAGACGAAAAAAAATATATTGGTTGCGTTCTCACGGGAATGGGCGATGGAGGAGCCCATTCTATATTCTCTTTTATATAATATTGTCGTGATATATTTTATTAATATTTGTAAATTTATATGTATCATATTAAATTATACAAATATATAAATGATTATGTAATATGGCTAAGCGTTTGCATGATATACTTTTTATTAGCCTTTTACTTATATCGATTCGAAAAACGAATCGTACCGAAGAACGAATACGTATAAATTATACGTATAGTTTACATAAAACAACTTTTGTAAATATATTATTTGCATGTTGAATACATGCAAATTCCTCTGAGAATACATGCACCGAAAGAAACACAGCGAAAACAGTGTGAACCATATTATGGAATTGTATTCTAAATATGTGTGACAAAAATAGATATCTATGTGCTGTTAAATCGTTTGTATACTTGTACAGGACGATAAAACACTAAAACTTCAAGATATCATGTCTCAACACATAGAATACAATGTAAAAGGCTTTCTACTTTTCACTGCGATTTTTATGTGTGTTCTAAATTTATATTACTTTATACAGGGTGTTTGATACCTGATCATGCAGACGAAAGTTGGAGATAGATTGGGTGTAGCCGAGAAGAAAAGTCATGTACCATAATGTCAAATTGGCAATAGTTATCGAGTTATAAATTAAAACATGTGAGCCAACGAGCGCGTAGAGAGCAGAGGGCGGCCGCAGTAAGCACGTAGACATTTGATACAGGCGGAGTCAGTGAGTGGCGGCAGGCAAGCGCGCGCGGCGAGGGGCAACGTAAGCGACAAGAGGCGATCGCGCGCGACGAGGAGCGAGCGAGCTTTTTCTTTATAGGTTTTTCCTTATAGCTCGCTCGCTCCTCGTCGTTTGCGCTCGCTCGCCTCTTGTCGCTTGCGCTCGCTCGCTCCTCGTCGTTCGCGCTCACTCGCTCCTCGTCGCGCGCGTTCGCCTTTTCCGATTATGATCAGTTAAATTTCTATTCCAGAACATTTTTCTGATAAATTTAAGCCATAATTTTGTATCACCGACTAATCTTGAACTCCAAGCCAAGGATTATTATTAATTTGTTCTACTGAATATCCCATTTTTAGGTTTTGAGGTTACGATTACAGATGAAAGTAAACTTATTTAGGAATATAACTGAAGTTAGACGTATTCGAGCTAGCTTTATCAATAAAGTTTACCAATTTTATCACTTTCTTACTTACCGACATCATAAAACTTTTAATAAAAAAAAAAATGGTACATGAGCGACAATTTTCGTTTTCAGAAATCAATTCTACACATTAAGATACACAAATTTTCAAGATTTCAAAAAAATCTAAGGTGAGGGCGTTATACTGCATATTTACCATATGTATGTGTGCATGTGTATATATATATAAAATATATATATATATTAAACACATAAACATATATATTTTAAAGTGATTATTAAACGAGGAAACAATTTTAATGATAATGTGACGTGTCCAGCTGATTTCTTATACAGCGACGGGCCTGAGTGCACCGCCATCGTCACCCAGGCCGCTGAGCGCGGAGCGGTGCGAGGGGGACGGTAAGCATCACCTATTGAATTTCGCCCAAAATATGCAGATCGTGTCCAGCTCTAAATTCTATATAATATGATAAGATGGATGAGATGAAGTCAGATTACGTTAAGTCAAATTAGGTTAGGTTAGGTTATATCAGATCATACAGGATGTTTCATTAAAAAAAAAAAAAACGCACCTCCATAATTCTTCAACAAAGCATTTTCAGCAAAAAAGTTTCGGACAAAAGTTGTATTATTTCAAGGACATAAAAATTATACTATTTTGTTTACAAATTGCACCAGTTTCGAGATATTCACTAATCATTACTTTTCTTAAATAGAAACCCCAATTTTTTATCGTCTTTTTCTACCAATTAATTTAAACAACCTTCGTCTGAAACATTTTTTATTTGCCTAATATTTTTTGAGATATTTAAAGAAAACTTGATAACTTTTTCAATATTTAACTGACGATATCTCGCTAACTCGCTAATTTGGAAGAAAAAGTAGTACTAGATTTTTGTGCTCTACTTGGTCTCGAGAATATATTGTTATAATAGCGCCCTGACTTTTGTTAATTGGATGATTTTGAAATTTTCAAAAATCAATAAGTTAAGAAAAGTCAGTCTATCATAACAATATATTCTTGAGATTAAATAGAGAAAAAAGTCTAGTACTATTTTTTTCGAAGAATTATGGAGGTACGTCTTTTCAAATGAGACACCTTGTATATCGTTATGTAGCTTTTCGTACGTTTATTTTTCTCTATTGCAACTCCATTGCAATCAAATGTCATGCATGTCATGGCTTTTAAGGTTCGGACATTCCGTAAAGAAGATCATTATGTATCTCATTCTTATGGCATATCCGTGTTTATTTACTCACTTCTTTCACATTTTTAGGTATGTTTCCTTCATGTTTATGAAACATTAATTTATTAATTAAATTAATTTATGAAAACTTAATTTAAAAGCACCACGTGATTCTGCAGTCTAAAAACTATACAAATGTCACTTGTCGGCTGGGAACAAAAATGCGCAAAATGACTTTTACACGTCCTCTTTTATACTTTTTTATTTTCTTCGAACAGATATATTTCTCATATCAAGAATCAACAATTGATCATATTATTGTGAGTTGTTGAAATGTATTCAATGCCAACTATAAGATCGTTAAAACAAATATGTACGGTTAAATAAAAGATTTTAATCTTAAAATCTCAAAAAAAGAATTTTTGGAAAAAGAATGTTCCTATTATCATAATTATTCCTTAAACAGTATAACTTCTTTTTAGGCATATTTTTATATCATAAAACATTACAGAAATATTTCTGATGGTTAAGATAAACAAAACACTATATAATATTTTATATAAATAACATTTATAAAATATATTGAATTTAATTATTATTGACAAACATTTAATGTATTTAAAAAAAATATATACTTACACTCCTATGGCACCAAGAAAAGGCATTGGATCAACACTTTTGGATGTACCTTTCTGGTATATATCTTTACATATGACTCTACAAATTGTAAGAAATATGGTTGTTTAAATAGACACAAATTTATAATTTCGACAGTAAAAGTTTTATAATTTAACTCTTTATAAGTTTTATAATTTAACATATAGTATACAGGATGTCTCAGAACAATGATTACAGAGCTCGTAGAGATATAGACCGGATTAAGACAAACATAAAAGTTCCATACCTTTTTGCGATATTCGCAATAATTATCAAGTTATTGATGACAAAAATCTGAAGAATGGACGCACGCTGAGATAGATGATCATTCTGTCTTAATCCGTTCTATATTTCCGAACTTTGTAATCGTTCTGGAATATATATTGTATGTATTTTGAAATTTTAAGAAATAATTTGCGTATTATCTTTTTTCATCAAAAATATATTTAAATGATAAGGTATAAAAAATATAAGTTTTTATTGTATCATATTAGCGTATTACAATACATTATACAGGATGTACACGAGTTCGTGATACAATTTTTTACCACATAATTTAGCATTACCGACGACATTGTAGTTACGAGGGCGACGTAATTGAGTCGTGTATAGATATTGCACGCATCATGTCATTATAGGCAAGTTCAGATGGTTAACTTCTCGGCTGCATGAGCTAAGATCCATATGAAAAGGTATAGATATTTAACGTGGTAATGCATTATAAAAATGTAATAAAAAATAATGTTATATGAGTCTTAAAATCTTTCCTGTTACAAGCATAATTTTTATGTTTTCATTTTCATATTTTTATAATGCATTACCACGTTAAGTATCTACACCTTTTTGAAGGAATCTTAACTCAAGCAACCGAGAAGTTAACCATCTGAACTTGCTTATAATTACATGATGCGTGCAATATCTATATGCAATTCAGTTAACTACAATGCCGTCGGTAAATCGTGTGGTAAAAAGTTATATCACGAATTCGTGTACACCCTATGTATAGTACCAACCAAAAATATATCACTTTTAAGATGTTTGAGCATAACTTGGTTTAAAGTGTATGGATATGTATTAGGTCATAACATGTTTTGATAACACGTGCAATTTATCGAACAAAGTACTTTTAATCAAATAATATAAACAACTTGTGAAAAAATAACTTTATTTCAAATGTCTAAAGTACGTTAAAATGAATAGTAAACTTTGAATAGCTATAATTATCTTCAATGTCAACAGAAGAGCACCAGATTCATAATTTAAATGAAATATTAGGTGCGCAACTAAGTTCTCGCTGTTTTTTTGATGAAAATGCAACTTTATTGTGAAAAAATGGTTACAAATGAATCATTCAAAATATTGCCCATCGCTAGCGACAACTTTTTCCCATCTTTCTGGCAGAGCTCGAATACCGTCACGGTAGAAGTGTTCGTCTTTTGAGGCTATCCACGAATCAAGCCATTTTGAGATGTCTTCATATGAGCGGAACTGCTGATTAGCCAGATCATGTGCCATCGAACGGAACAAGTAATAATCAGACGGCGCAATATCTGGGGAATATGGCGGGTGGGGTAGGACTTCCCATTTGAGCGTTTCTAAGTAGGTTTTAACGGGTTTGGCAACGTGAGGTCGAGCGTTGTCATGCTGTAGAATCACTTTTTCCTGCCTCTGCTCGTATTGTGGCCGCTTTTCGCGCAGTGCTCGGCTCAATCGCATCAATTGAGTTCGATACCGTTCCCCAGTGATGGTTTCGTTCGGTTTCAACAGCTCATAATAAATAACACCGCCCTGGTCCCACCAAATACACAGCAAAACCTACGCAGCGTGAATATTCGGCCGAGCCGACGACGTAGAAGCATGACCGGGCAGTCCCCATGATTTTGTTCTCTTTGGGTTGCTGTAATGAATCCATTTTTCATCACCCGTAACGATGCGATGAAGAAAACCCTTCCTTTTTTGCCGCTGGAGCAGTTGTTCACAGGCGAAAAAACGACGCTCAACGTCTCTTGGCTTCAAATCATAAGGAACTCAAGTTCCTTGTTTTTGAATCATTCCCAACGCATGCAATCGCTTGGAAATGGCTTGGCGGGTAACTCTTAATGCTGAAGCAAGCTCTTTTTGCGTTTGGCACGGATCCTCATCGAGCAATGCCTCCAATTCAGCGTCTTCGAAGGTTTTTGGCCTTCTTTCACGCGAACGGTCGTCAACATCGAAATCACCGTCTTTGAAGCGACGGAACCAATCACGGCACGTTGTTTCACTTAGAGCAGCATCTCCGTAAACTTTTTGGAGTTCTCGATGCGCTTCAGCCGCCGTTTTCTTCGAATGAAAGAAGAAAAGCAACACTTCCCGCAAATGACGATTATTTGGCATAAAATCAGACATTTTCACACAACCAAAAGTATATGACGCAAAAACAAAATCACTAATGTGTCAAAGCGGTTTGTTTACCATATGTCTAAGCTTGGTTCATGACGTTTTGGTTATGTCACAATCGACCAACACTTACTACTGGAGCCATCTCTTGAAAAACAGCGGAAACTTAGTTGCGCACCTAATAACTCTAATATTTTGTAGTAAAACCTTTTGCACCGATTACAGCTTGACAACGTCTGGGCATGGAATCAATGAGTGCATCGATTGTAGCTTGAAAGATCTTTTTCCATTCTTTTTCAAGTTGGGAGAATTTCTGGACCGCATTTGTAGCTCGTTTTCCTGCCAAACGTCTCTCCAGCTCATCCCATAACGATTCTACAATATTTAAATCGGGGGATTGACTTAACCAATCCATGAGAGTTACACGATGGCGTCGGAACCACTCCTGCACTTTAGCTGCTCGATGTTTCGGATCATTGTCTTGTTGGAAGATGAAACCGCGACCAAGGAAACGTTTTGCATATGGAAGCATTACATTCTGGAAGATGTTTATGTATACCATCTGATCCATGATGCCCTCGATTTTATAAAGGGAATCTATTCCTTTTGCGGAAAAAGTATCCTACACTATAACCGAACCGCCTCCATTCTTCATTGTAAGAAGTTGGTATTTGGGGTCAAAGCATTTGCCTTCAGGACGACGAATCCACTTTATTCCGTCATTACCAAACAGCATAAACTTACATTCGTTGCTTCAGAGAACGTCAGACCATTGACATGATGTCCAATTAAGATGTGCTTTGGAGCACTCTACTCGCGCCTTCCGATTCTTCACAGAAATGAATGGCTTCTTCACAGGTCGTCGACCATGTAATCCTGCATTTTGCAGCGTATGATACGTACAGATGGATTAGACTGTTCTGGAGTCAATATTTCTTTAGCAATGTCCGACATCATGAGATGTGGGTTGCTACGAGATGTACCCAAAATGTTGCGATCGACGAGAGAAGTAGTACAATGCGGTCGGCCACGTGCTTTCTTATTAACAAAACCTTTTTGAACCTTTAAACGCTTAAGCAACTTGATTACCGCTGATTTGGAAATGCTAAACTGCTGGGCGAGTTTCTTATGTGTCCGTCCTTGTTTGCGACCCTCTATGATAGCTTTCCGTTGTCGTTCGTCCACATTTCGAGTACCACAAGTCTTCGCCATCTTCTAAAATACTAAACTAATGCTTACAGCCGTGTTGAAATAGTGACAGAATACATAAACATAACGAAATTGGGGTGTATCATATCGTGCCATGTCAAGGGAAGTACTTCTCCTCCGACGGACCCCATCTACTATGCACTTTCTCCGTGCTTCCTTCTCTAGCGGTTCTTGACGCGGAACGATATGATTCACCCCAGTGTACACAAAGGTTGTCAACGGACGATTTTGGGACAATCAATAAATATCTTTGAATATCATAATATATGTTGTCAAATTTTCTCATACATTACACATAAAGTGTACATGATATCAGCTATCTGCTGTAAAAATTTGAATTTAGTTTCTTTACTGTGAAGAAAGTTATGCTCAAAAATTTCAAAGGTGATATATATTTGGCCGGTACTGTATTATGTAGCATATTAGCATACTACAGTATAGTTATGTATTATAAAATACATTTTAATATCTTTTATTCAATTTTTGATATTTTGATGTTTGATATGTAACATTAATCACAATTTTAGATATAAATATAAATAAATTCAGTCTAAGTAAATATATTAGTATAATTATATACAGTCGTGGACAAAATTAAATAGACAAGTATAAATAACAAAAGGTTATTTTAATTTAACTAATAATGTCAAAAAATCAAACCTTTATTGTTTATTTAAATTAACGAAGTATAATTTGACAAAATATAAAGAAAAACCAATTGTAACAAATAATATATTAGAATTTTTATTGATTAATGATAGTAACATAAAACTATATATGGTCAAAATTAAGTGGACACTTTATACAAAGTAAGTATTAATACTTTGTATTGTAGCCTTTTGCTTTTATTACTGCTTGTAAACATCGTAGCATACTTTCAATAAGTTTTTCCAAATAATATTTATAAATTTTTTGAAATTTTAGTTGCAATTCATTTAAAAATTCTTCCTTATTATTGCAATTTTCTAATGGAATCTCTGCATTCAGTAAATTCTATATTTTCGATTGGATTAAGGTCCGGATTTTGTGGAAGCCATTCAAGAACTTCTATTTTACAATTCTGGAAAAATTGTTTCATTTTCTTTGCTGTGTGCTTAAGATCATTGTCTTGCTGAAACATCCATTCCTTATCGAAATCCATTTTTAGAATTGAATCTCCTAAGTTTTCATTTAAAATGTCAATATATTTATCAGCATTCATGATTCCACCTAGAGCTACTAAATTTCTAATCCCATACCACGAAAAACAAGCCCATATCATTATTGCACTTTCTCCATATTTGACTGTTGATACAATATTACTTCTTTACAGCTTCTTTAGAGCTTCATTCGGTTTTCTCCACACATGTGCTCTCATTTTTGTATTCAATAATTCAAATTTACTTTCATCGCTCTATATTATTCGTTTCCAAAATGATAATGGCTTATTTACATATTTTTTTTGCAAAAGCTAAACGTTTCTTTTTATATACTTT